TATTTCCTTCGTATTTTTGAGGTAAGCCAGTCCTCCATCGCAACTCTCCAGTTGGTGCAAAATGCAGCCGTACTCTTTTTAACTGGAGTACATAGCTCCCATCCTGGCCTCCCTCCATTGGCTGTCTGTGCATTTTAGAGTTCATTTTGAGATTCTTAAATTTGATTTTTAAGTCTTTAAATGGCTCGGCTCCTCCCTTCCTGTCTAAGCTTCTCCACCCCTATGCTACCACTCCGTACCTCAGGTCAGCTGACCTGCTGGCCCTGGAGTTACTAACATCCAAAGGAAGGCTGAGATGAGACGGAGCTTTTTCAGTTGCTGCTCCAAAATTGTGGAACTCGTCCTCCTCATTAGACAATCCTCTTCACTGTCTATTTCTAAAACACATTTTAAAACCTATCTTTATTCTTCGGCTTTTAACACAGCATGAACCTCTTGTATTGTTTTTTATTTGGTTTTATTTGTTTTAATACATTTTATTGTATTTGTTTTGTTAATTTAATCTTCTATTTGTTTGTTTTTTTATTTTATTTAAATTTTTTTAATTTACTTGTTATGTACAGCACTTTGTAGCAGCTGGGGTTGTTTTAAAGAGCTTTATAAATAAAGTTGAGTTGGGCTGAGTTAAGTATCAGGGGTTTGAGACATGCTTTCTCATCAAACATAGGATCCGATAAAAAAAAAAGCATTAGACACAATCTGACCTACTTTTAAAAACAGATATTTATGAATTGCTTTAACAGACATGCAAAAAGTTGGTCCTCGAGGGCCGCTGTCCTTCAAGTTTAAGAGCTTTTCCTGCTCCAGCACAGCTGATTTTTATTTATAGCTGATTAACAGGCTTTTGCTGAACTGCAATCAAAAGAATCAGCTGTGCTGAAGCAGGGAAACCTGCAGGACAGATGCCCTCGAGGACAGACTAGGCGCATGCCTGCACTATTCACCTTAAAAGCTTCAGTAGATGCACACTGTTAAGTCCTTATCAGAGAAATTAAAGCATTTCTTCTCTTCATTGGTAAGTGAAAGTGAGATGTTGGCGAGTGACCCCGATCGGGCTCGAAAAACATCAATTTAAACATGAACCATGCTATTTAACTCCCACTCAGACTGCTGTCTGCTTAAGATTTATGTTGGTGACAGAAAACACCCTGGATCACAGGTGCTTCCTGCTGAGCATCACACCTCTCAGACAGAATCCGTCTGGATTTCTACTCCTCTTAGCTTCTATTCCTGCAATTTTCATACAGGAAACTGTAGAGAGCACAGCTTCTGATCAATGGTATTTTCACAAACAGTGAGCTGCTGGTCAGACGTGCAGCGAAGCATCTTCCAGAATCAATCTGGTCTGCGTTTGCTGAACCCAGAATAATTTTCTCTCTAGGCAACACTTTCTCTAACTTGATGTTTTTCTTATGTGATGCAGGATTATGAGCCCACCATCTATCACCCAAAACGCTCCGCTCACAGTTTGCACCAGGATTTTACAATCCAGTGTGAGAAGATGGATATCCCTTTCCTCTCATATCTCCCTACAGAGGTCAGTAACTGTTAACAAAGAATATTTTACAAGCTCTTCAGTCAAGTCATGGCAAATGCTTTTCTATGTCTAAGTAGCTTTTCTACCTCTGCATCTGCTATTATCATAATAGCAGATGCAGATATAACATATATGATAATAACTGTTAATGCTACTGCTACGAATACTTCTAATACAACTATTACTTACAATAATTATTATAAATGGAGCTGATTCTACACTGTTGGTTACAGCTGCTACTCTTTCTAACAGTAGTGCTGCTACTGTAGAAATAACTTAAATGTGTCTTTTGTACTTTCTCTGTTTAAAGCATTGGACACACAAAACAGAGGACACATTGAGGTTTTATACTGTAAGAAAATGTGGAGATACTACAGTATTTAAAACTACTGCTTCTTATTTTTACTACTTCTGCAGTGAACGGAAACATTTGATTAGAAGCCATTGTTTATAAATGAAACCATAGCAACACGATACGAACAGAAACGGACTGTAATGTATCATCTTTCAAAGTTTTTAATTTAAATTTTAAGGCAGATTTAGGCATTTTTATAACCATATCTCACCCGAACACCAATTTGTTCTTAAATATTCTTCTACTGGATTTATTAGTATGTCTTAAAAATCCAAATTTATGAGTTTCTATATAGTTTTTTTTTAACCATCATTCTGAAGAAAAAATAACATGCTGCTCATAACTTGTTAATCGGTCTCCGCCAGTCACGTGACTTTTGTTGCTAAGACGCCATTTTAGTTGGAAAAGGTGTAGTGTAAACA